GAGCATGGCGAATGTCTGCACACGTAGCCAGTTCTTTCTGATTGGTTGATGTTATCTGGATAGAAGAAGTTTGCAGCGGATGATGTGCGAAATTCATCTTTCACCACGATCTGTTCTATCTGTGTTCTGCCTTTTGGGTTGCGGATAAAATACGGCATGCATTTGCGAAATCTGTCTATTATTGACGCTTAAAGAGGTTCAACAGTCTTTAAGAAAAAAATGTGCTCGAAAAAATGATATGACACATACTCCCTCCGTCCCAAAATAATGGCGCGACTTGTAGGAGGGGGTACACGACACGTCATTATATTTCAGAGTAAAATTCAAAACGACATTACTCCCTCGCAACTTCGAATAATGAAGTTCTGATTGGACGACACGATCAAGCGCGCCAAACGATTTTGTTTCATCTACGTACCTACCATTGGACAGTGGTGGAATATCATGTGAAAAATTAAGTTTCAAAATATCAATACAAAACATACAATAATACATGCATTCATTACATACATTCACTCATCATGGGAACGGGAAGGCGGGACCTGACGAACGAAGAGCGCGAAGCAATCCTTAGTGAGACCTTGCTAAAGAGCAATGGAGTCTACTCCGCAAGACTTCCAAATGTATTTAGTAAGTATCTTGCTGACAAATACAATTGCCACCCTGCAACGATTCGCGAAGTGCTCGCTCGTGCAAAGAGCCAAGGTGTTGCCGAAGGCAACATGATCGTGTCAGTTTGCAACATGAACGTGTCAGTTTCAAGCAAAAAGAAAGGCAAGGTTGGCCGAAAGTATGCATTTAAAGCAGCTGAGGTTAAAGCTAAGCTTTTTGCAAGTCCCTCTGGCTAATCGTACGACACTGCGCTCCATATCTGCTCACACTGGTATGAATACATTGACATAACCTCGTATAAACGACATTGTTAAACAAATTCCACAAAATAAGCCGGGGAACCCTACATTGCTACCTCAAGCTGGGTATGTTCCGGTCTCACTCAAATGCCATAAAGCCTGTGCTGACCTCAGCAAAAAAGTACAGCCGTTTAAAGTTCGCGATGAGCTTTGTGCGCCAAGATATGGAGCTTGATGAGCTTCTGAACTACGTGCATATTAATGATAAATGGTTTTATCTCACCAAGACGAGTCGTACGTACTATCTTGTGCCCAGCGAAAGTGACCTCGAACGAAAGTGCAAGAGCAAACGCTTTTTGACCAAAGTCATGTTCCTCACAGCCGTTGCGCGACCGCGGTTCAACGATGACGACGGGACATGGTGGACAGGCAAAATTGGCACGTGGCCGTTTGTCGAAACAGTGCTGGCACAGCGCACAAGCTCGAACCGCCATGCAGGAACGCCAGAAACAAAACCCTTGGTCGTGACCAAAGATGTGTACCGGTCCTTCTTGATCAACAAGGTGTTACCTGCTGTGGTCAAGGTATGGCCGCAGTCAAACGTTCCCATCATCATTCAACATGACAACGCTCGCGCCCACGTTACGACGTCCGACATTCAACTGCGAGCGGAGTTCGACCGCTACAGCACCCTGGGTGAGAAATTTGCATTATACTTAGGGGGGAGTTTCCAATCTGCCAGAATCTGACTAACTAATGTCGCTAGTATTACTAGTAGTACCTAGTAGGCAAATAGTACTATTGGTGCCTAGTAGGCAGTTGGCCGAAGTAGGGAAGGGTACGAAATAAATCGCGCGCCTATCAGAGACTGGGGGGGTAGGGGAGAAGATAGTTGCCCAATGAGAGGAGGTGGTGGCGTGCGTCGTGGGAAAAGACGGGACGGAAGGGGATGGGAAGTCTTGTGCCAGTTGAGAGGCTGGGCGCATTTTGAAATGGAATGGACTTGACGACTTGGAGCACCGTTGGTGGACGATTGCAAAGGCGGCAAAGGTCGGGCGGGCCCCAAACTTCGGGGTCCGCCGTGTCGGACGACGGCGAGCATTTCGTTCATCGGCAGCGAGCAGCGGTTCGGCCTGCGTCGCGCGGCAACGTCGATCCGGCCAAGGCAGTGTGTCGGCGAGTTGGTGGTGAAGTTTGGCGAACGATATGAAAGGCGGAAAAGGTCGGGCGGGCCCCAAACTTCGGAGTCCGCCGTGTCGGACAACCGCTTCAGCACCCTGGGCTGGACGTTCCAGCTTGCCCCACAGCCTACCAACTCCCCGGATACCAACATCCTTGACCTTGGTTCTTTGCGGCCCTGCAGTCCCTACAGCATCGAAAGTCTGCGCGTTCAATTGATGAGCTGGTGATGCACGTACTAGAAGCGTTCGACGAATACGCATAAGATCGTCTTGACAGGACGTTCTTGACCT